AGGATATTGGATATAAAAACAACAAAAGAATGAAGATAACTTCATTCGATCGACAGACATCATTACTAACATGGTTTCAGCATTTTTTATTCAGACTTTCAATAGTGCATATTTCCGATCCATTCAGATCACAACTCATTCATTACTTTAAGATGGAAGATTGTTATTATTAACAATGATAAGAATTTTTCTCCACACGGATGAAGACTGCTATTATTCTTATTCTAACTATAATCAACAACAGTATTATTAATACTGCATAAACAAACGCACAGTTTTCTAAGAATGTAATTACAGTTATATTTCAAATGCTTATATAAATAAATATAGCTTGACTGATTGGAAAACATGAAGAGTGAAACAATATTGTGAAATACACAGATACTTACCCCTGATAGGTTGGATGAAGCATCAGATCGAATAACGAACATAATTCTCTCTCTGTTGCCACCGGTTCTGAATTTGGTCGCTTCCAGTCATACAAATACCACTGCACTGTTGCTAATCGCTTCTCGGTATCTGCCGATATTACAATACCGTATTCGCCTTCTAAAATTAATTGCATTCGTCAGAATCGATTTTAATAAGGAAACAACAAGAAAGAAGCAATAAATGTCAAAAATCAATAGCATCTTTTATAAAACGCCCCACAAATGATTCTAGTAGATAANGATATGCATATTGGTAAAAACAATCATCAACAATAGTAAGGCTAACACCTTTTTCAGCATTAATTTTTCTGGCAACAATAGTCCCAGGTACATCATCGTGATGGTCAAGATCTAGTTCGTAAGGCACCAGATCAATGCCACGCACGTTGTTCTCAATAGTGCCGTCCATCCAAACGACATCCACCGTTGAGTATGTGCGCATGATATCACCGTAAAACTCCTCGCCCAAACAACTACGCATATCCAGTTGAATACGTGAACGTGCAGCTTTACGTTTCATTGCACGATTTTGTCTGCAGTATCACAGTTTTCGTTTCAAATTTTGCAACAATAAAGTCAACTTACGAGTAAATAACATTGAAAACATTAGAATTAATAGCTGTACTAAAACAATATTGACAATGAACTAACTTATTCCTACGTATTTGACGAATATTAAAAGTGGTCGGTTTATTCTTTTTGACGAAACGCAGCGGAGAAAGATGGTCAACAGCAGGTGATTTAGGCGAAGTGCTCGATACTTCAACTTCTGCTCCGACTTCCATTTTCAACAGAAGTTGTCTTGAAACATGAATAATACTNTATTTTATTTGACTTTATTTCTCATCAAAATAATACATGAACATTGATAACGAAAGAACTAATCAGTGATTTTACGAATACGTACATTTTGGTGGAGGACAAGGACTACCAAAATATTGGTTCAGCTATCCAAAAGGGCGCATTTAAAAACAATTGAATTGACTGAAAAACGAACGATTGATGTGGATTGACCGCGGCGGCAGGCTGAGTGTCATTACAATTATCGTTGAGCGATCGTGATGTATCGTTAGCGGTAACCTCGTCATTATCACACGCCATATCACATTCCTCATCATTATTATTAGTCGCTACATTATTACCACTATCGCCATTAATATTATTATCGTAACCAGACGCACTATTAGACGATGCTTTAGGTGATTCGGCACCTAACTTACTACTGTTTTCGTCATCAACATCGTTGTATCTATCTCCTTCTGTTGATTCTGAAATTAATTGAAAACGCTCTCTTTCATCGAATCTAAACTATTCAAATGAACACATTATTATGTCAACTATAACGCTGAAAAAGCTGATTAAACTGAGAGATTAGTCTGAACGATTAATCTCACTTGCATTGCATCACAATTTCTCAAACAGTCATTATGAACTGATGCTATAAAATGGAACAACGCATATGCCAACGATCAACTGAAAAGAAGATTGAAATGAACAAGCAATCGAACAAATCGAATCGAACCAATTCCCTGATCGTGTGTACTGGAAAGAAATGATGTTGACGGTCTTTTTTTGAGAGGCACTGAATTCGTTGACGTTCTCGTGCTACAGCTTGATGACGAACTACTTGAACTTAAGAATTTCTTCATACGACGACGTCTACCTTTGAAGGCCTGCAATCGAAAGAGGAATAAATGAAGAAATTTTCCAAGTGGTATGATATTGTAAAAAAATAAATTCAGAATAATATTACAATAACAGTTATAACATAAAATAATATAATAACAAATAGGTTCATAATGATGAATCAATCATCTGAACGAATTTACTTGTTCGGGAAGTTTTTCAATGAGCTCCTCAGCCAGAACCTTTTCCCAGTCGTTTTTGCGCATAACCGTCACCCTATCATCCGGTTTCATTTTCATTCGATCACCACATAACGCTTGTGTATATTCAAGTGTATCAAGTTTTATTATTCTGTAAAAATGCAACGTGATGAGAGAAAATTGCGTTTAACCACATTATACTATGGATTTTTCAAACAATCACTATTCATTTTAAACACCCACGTTTCCTAAATCTTTTCAAATTAAGCTTGAACAATGATTTAAAATGTCGATTTTCTCGTTCAGATAAACGTTTTCAACGCAAAAATGGGTTTTATGCACTGTTATTTGAGTCTTCCTAATTCGCTTTCTGATGGCGAAGTAAAAATATCAGTGCGCATCTGTTCAACAGCATTAAGGAATTCTTACAACAGCAGTGAACTATTATATCAAGTGGTTTTTTGGCTTAGAATTTGCTTACTTATGGCTTGTGGAATGTAACCGATGCATGGTCAACTCATATTTCCTGAAACTAATTTTCAAAAATCAAAACACGGAAATGAAACCAACGAATGAATTCACCTTTCAACATCTGGTTTGGTTATGCGTTCGGGTGGTGGTTCTATTGATGCTGACGGCGTTGTTAACCAACGAACTTTCACCGCATACAAAGATACCTAAAAATTTGCTTTATGAATGGAATGTCGTCGAACCTTCGAATTGACAAAATATGCAAAACTGAATGAATCAATAAAATTTTCCTCATAAACCGATGAAATCAAAACGAAATACGGATGAAAATAATCGACGATGTGCGAAAATAAACCTTTTCAATAACAAATGGTGTATGATGCGAATATCCTCTCGTTTTTCGTTTCACCAAACACGACGGCATTTCTGTTTCCCATTCAGCCTCAAAATACGCGTTCTTTATGGACAAGCTAACGATAATCTATGCAAGGAATTACAAAAAAAAAGATCTACTTTGAAAGCCTTGCCATGAAGCTGATTATATTGATGTAAATATATTTTATATGCGTTACAATAATCGCACTTACATTAGAATATCATTAAAATTGAACGTATTCGAAGCGATATTTAAAATGGACAGTGAAAGTAATCATGTAGACGACACCTTGTTTGAAAGGACATACGAGGTGGAGATCATAACCGTCTCGCCAGGTACCCACTGTCTTCCAACACCATAATCCTTGCGTCGATACAGAATCCCGGAATCAACATTATCTTTGATTTTGCATCTGAATGCATTCAGAATGTTATTCAACCGTCATCATTCATTCATCGAAATAAACCAGTTCAGGTTGAAGTCGCTTCTGGTTAACTAGAGTGATAGCATCCCATTCAATGACATATGACAGTTTACCGATAGCAATTTCTGAAGACGACAGTCAATTCGAAAACAGATTTCAACGCCGTCCCAATCCAATCGTCGAACAGAAGAAAGTTTTGACCACCAGAGGCGAAGGGTTCGATGAATTTTGCGGTACTTAGATCAACGTTCTGTGCGACGATTCTGAAATATACATTAACTGAGGCCGAATTTTCATGACGAGTTTGTGAAAAGAGAATAAATAATCTAGGATAACTTTAAAAACCGTTAACAATGTCAACGAACAATGAAATTAAGATCGAATGTGAATTTGTTTGAAACCAATCGATGTTAGTTTAAAGCCAACTGCTGATCTCCACTTTTTATGATACTGATTACATGAAGTCTGTTTAAAAACCTGAGATGAAGCAGCTGAATACATAAACTATCCGAGAAATAAATTCGTAGCAAGAAAACGTCGGAATTGTAAGAACAAAGACAAAAACAAACTTGCGCTCAGGCAAAACAATAACATCAGCTTTCACGTGAATCTTCCGAACGAATCCCACCTGCTTCGGGTTACTGATTCTAACGACGGATTCCGACAGTGAGAAACCACGATCTGCTACGTAAATCTGAAAAACTTCCTACTATTTGGTGAAGTTTTAAGAGCTGAAAGGTACATTCAACGAAACAGATGTGATATAGGTAACAAAATCTCGGAAACGTTTTCTTCGTTATCTTCATAAAGTAAGTTGCACATATTCAAAAGCTCAAAAGTCACATTTGATAGGACAATATAACGGATTTGATCGTTCGTGATATATATTTCAACTTTATTTCAAGAGACTTTTAACTTCTGCAGTCATAATCATTTGAAAAAAAATTGAAGGACAGATAATGAAACAGAATTAACCTCATCTTCACTACGAACCACAGAGCCAACCGATCCAGGAAATACATCAATAACAACTCCATCCTCCTTCCCTTTATCGCCACTGTCATCCATATTTCCACGATATACCTGACGTGACATATGGGTTCTTGATCATTGAAAAATAATCCACAAATTCGGAACCAATTTTTTCCATTGACATTTTCATGAATCAGTCACAAACAATAAGCCTTTGCTTCTTTTGAATCAGAACTGATCTGCCATTTGAGTTCAATTCAATATGTTGCACTTACCTTTGTGAAGTAGCGTAACCATGGATGAGGAAAGAGATTTTAGGTTCATTAGCTGAATTTTAGGTTCATTTTTCTACGTTTATTTTCCTTCCTTCTCCATCCTCCCCTTCCTTTTCACTTCTCCTTTCTTTTCTCTTCTCTTTCCCTCTTCTTTTTCCTTTTCTCCCACCTTTCAGTTGCAGGTAAGGGAGTGGGCACGTACCCCTGCCCCCTCCCCCCGTACTGCCCAAACATAAAGAATATATGATCATACTTATTTGCATATAAGTCTATAATGAACTAAATATACCTTACTCACAACACCAAGCTTGGGTTTAGCACCCTTACCCAGATACACCACAGTATCATCTTGTTCGACACGATTTACACTGATATTCGAAAGATCATCAACGTTCATTGATTCGTAATCATCCATACTTGATTCGATAAATCAATATTTCACACGATTCCACTCAACGTTCAGACTGATTTGGTGATGCTGTAAAAACAAAATTCCTGTAAATTTCATATTGACATTCGGGTGACATAATAAGCGAGGTAGCAACGGAGGTTTATCCCTAATCATACGCTCCATGAACAATGGTAACGTAACGGGTTTTTTCTACAGCAAATGATAACAGAGATGAACGTGCAAAACATGCTGAACCTGACCATCGCTCATATCATCCGAATGAGTGATGTAGCAGGACATATTACGAGCCGAAGTTTTCGAACGTGCCAAGATGCCTTTCCTTGATCATATCAATACAGCTCAAGCGGACTGGTTGTTAGGGGATGAATGGACTGCCAACTCATTTTGCTCTACCTTTATATATTCAACTACTTCTGCTAAACAATAGAATTTTTTAAAAATCGAAGAGTGTTTTCAATATCACCATGCTCTGCACACTCTTAAAACTCACTAATAATAATTAACAACACATACAACTCCAAGTGATGTGTGGAAAAAAAAAAAGACCCCCAAAGCCAGAAATCCACATACACTTTGAAGTGGGCGGAATTTTTTGGAGTAAAATAACGTAACGAGCTGAGACGAGATGGGAGTGATGCACTAAAAGCCAGGGGTGTGGCCTAACGCACACACAACACGCGTCAGCCATCGCGCGCATGAAGACATTCTGCCACAGCCACTTTCGCATCTGTACCAACTGCTTTCTGGAACAATGAGAAGTATTTCAGCTGAAATTAACTCAGTTTGAGTAATCAATCATGCTTGTAGCTAATTGTGATCCGTGCGACGAGAAATAAGTTAATGTTAAACACTAAACAACAACTAGGTACAGTTTGGATTCATATTACGGATATAATCAATT